AGCAAGTGAGCGTTGGTGGCAGCTATTAATGAATGTCTGTAGTTTGTTAGAAGTACTCTTCGTGGCACGCCAAGTTTCTGAAACATATAGAAGCACTGACGTGACTGGCATTGGTGTTGAAAATGCGGATGTTGTTCATGCTTTATGCTGAGTGGAGTGGAGTGGAATGGAGTGCAGTAGATCTCCACACTGATTTCAGGTTAATGCAGGAAGGCCTGTCTTGTTGTCTTTCCGATCGTGACTGCTTCGACGTCCTCTTGTGTGCCTGTGCTGTCTGTAGTTGAAGCAGTGCTGCCTAGATAGGTGGAAGAGGCGCTTTGCCTTAAGTTTCTCCCGTTGATGGTGATTGGTGCTTGTTGTTGTTGTGGGTGGTGGTGGTGGTGGTGTAGGTTGGGTATCTTCATCACCTTTGTCTTCTCTGTGTTGACTTGAATTCCCGTCTTCGCTGCCCTGCCCTATCTCTCCTGTCAACCTGTTAGTTTTTAACTGTAGATCTTCAAGTTTGTGTGACATTAGACACAAGTCATCGGTGAAATCCAAATCTTCTAGGATCTTTTCCCCAGTCAAACAACGTATCCCCTTCTTCTCGCTCCTCACTGTTTGCTGCATGATCCAGTCCACCACAATCAGGAAGATGATCGGTCTTCACTTCACTTCAACGATATCACTGAGCTTCGTATTGTGAATTACTTGGCATGTGGCGTCTTCATATAGTTGTTGAATGAGGTTGATAAAGGTTTGTGTTATTCCATAGTGTTGAAGCAGTTGCCAAATTATTTGTCGGTCGACGCTGTTGAAGGTCTTTTCAATGTCGATGACTACATCACTAAAGACAATACTAATTCTAGATATTCACTAATTGTGTCATTATATCCAACCTTTAAATTATCAAATAAATATCTCTATCATTTATCGGCATATCATTTCCACAATTCTGACTTTATCATTAGAAAGTACTAGTTGTTTACATGGCCTTCTTGGATCCAGACAGATACAACTGTTTTGTGTGAGCATAAATTTATTATTGAAGACTTTCGTAACTTTTCCGTAAAATGTGTACTTTCATTTTAACCACTACAAGGTGAGTACAGCTCCTAGTACAACCACATTTTATTTGGATACACACTGAGCATTGATTCCATAGAGTGAATATTCGTATTATGCAAAGTTTAGAGTAATGTTGTAGTAATATAGCTATTTTCAGCTCAAATTTGTTTTGTAATGGCTACATCTATGCTCCAATTATCTAACTGGCCACGACTGGACAGTCTGATATATATATATATACTTGACCTCAAAATCATTGTATGGAATTCGGTAGGTTAGATTATTTTGCTTAATTGAATCTATCGGATCCTTAAGCAGACAAAGCTTATTTCTGAGTTACTATGTACGCTTAAATACGACCAGGATTCCGGCTTTGTTGAAGATCTTATGTGAAGTTTCTGATATTCCTCCCTTATAAGGTAACATAATGCAGACTGTGAACACCTTCCCACTCGTGTTGTCATTATTATTCGTACTTATGTTACTGGTATCCTTTCCTTTCCTATGTGTTTTCATGAATTTCTTAATAAACTGTAGAGAATAGTTAATAATCATTAACGCTCCTGTGTTTCCATTTCCTCTTTAACCCATTATATTGAAGAGTGAGTTTTCAAGATCTATGATTAAGACATTTGACTAAACTATCCTCAACTGACATTGGATAAGATGACTTGAAGTCTAGATACGTGTTAGAATGTGTCTGCTTTCCGTAGATGGCAGTATTCGAACCATCATCTATCCTTCGATTTATCTTGTAGTTTAACATAGATCGGAGTCAGATGGAATAGTGGAACATAAGAGTTTGGCTAAATATAGAGTGCAAACCCCAATACGGTCAATAATCTAGAAAAAGTATCGGCTCTTGTAATTCACACATTAACACAGAACCACACAATAGAGTGGGATAAAACGACTATACCTAATTAAGTCCGATGTAGTTAGCTGAAGAGAGAGAGAGAGAGACTGATCACTGAGTGTTTGTTCATCAGCCAACACCCACCCAATACATGTAAAAAGAATGGGGCAGCACCAATACCAGAAATGTGAAAAATGTTACTACCAGTAAAAACAAGGAATAGGAGGTGACAGTACTGTAAAAATCAGATATCGAAAGCAGTGTGACTACATTGATATGATTGATTATGAGTAATGATAATTTATGCTCGAAACCTCATCAAGTAGATAATACTATATTAGACTGTGTGTTATAAATCAATTAAACAGCTGTAATATGGAGGGTTTTTTCAATGCATAAATAGTAAGCGAACATAGATTGGCACCAGTTAGATTTGATCAGGCCACAAATTCCAAGACAACTAGTGATGAAGTCTATCAGTTGTTTGAGCTAGCGAGTACATCGACCGACATACATGTTGGCAGCGATTTGTTACTAATGCCAATGATTTCCTTGTAAATAGAGTTACCATTTATTTTTGAATTAAAGTATTTTTCTTGATTTTGTGAATCAATGGGTGCTCTAATGATTCTAGAGCCTGGAGGGTTAGATTGTCACCAGTAAAATCTCCCTTTCAGGTAGTCAACACTTACAGTATCTTATTGTCGTAATCTGTCGATGATGAAGAATTTCTCTTTTTTCTACTTACAACCTTATTTTGTTGGCATATTCACTCAGTATTGATTCCACAGAGTAAATATTCATATTATGCAGAGTTTAAAGTAAATTTTCTTATAACATTACTATTTACGGCTGAAAATCAGTTGCGCACAGACTCTATTCAAAAGAGCGAGAATACACTACAGTACAATAACTTCACGTAGAAACGAAGAAGATTGCTTGATGTCCATCCTAAAGAGGAACGACTACCCACAAAACTTTATCAGAAGATGCCTATCCCATACATCATCAACTACAAAGTCATCGACACAAATCAACCAACGCACCATCCTACCATACATAAAGAATATATCAGAAATCACGACAAGATTGCTGAAACCACTTGGAATTGCTGTGACTCATAAACCAACAAATCCCCTCCAAACACTATTATGCAGACCAAAGGATGCAACAAGTAAAGAAGACCAACCCAATATCATTTACAAAATCAACTGCAATAACCGTTGTCAACACTACATTGGGCGAGGTGGTCGCCCTTTTCACCTTCATCCACATAAACACCAATTAGCTATTAAACACCACGACATCTCATCACTCATTTCAATGCAAGTGGACAACAACAATCCACATGAATTCAATGTTGACAATGTAGAAATCTTGGATGGAGAATGTTAGAGAATTCCTAGAAGCTTGGCATTCAGATCGGTCAGCGATCAATAGATGTATAGACATAGACCCAATCTATCTTATGTGTGTGTGTGAGTGAGTTTCCATGTTTAAATACCACCCTCATAGCAGCTTTGTTGAGAATCCCACGTAGAATTCCTGATGTTGCTTCCTTGTAGGCTTATATCCTTCTATGTCACAACACTATACACATCCATTGAACCTCAATCGGCCAACGAAACGATATCCCTCCTCATCAATGAAGACAAAAATCTTTCACAACACACAAAACTCAAATGTTCAAGTCTGATGGAACTCATTGACCTTCCTATGACAACATACTTCCAATTCAACGGCAACATATACAAACAGATGAAAGGAGCTCCAATGGGATCACCGATATCCGGATTAATTGGAGAAGCAGTGATGCAGAGACTCGAAGTCATTATTCTACCTGTGATCAAACCAGAAATTGGATTCGTTATGAAAACGACACTTTTGTCATCATTGAAAAGGATGATATAGAAAACACCCACAGTTTGATCAACAACATTTTCAATGACATGAAATTCACAATGGAGAATGAGTCAAACAACCAACTACCATTCTTGGATGTTTTAGTCAGCAGGGCAAATGTCGGATGGCTGGAAATCAGTTGCGTGAAGACTCTATTCGGAAGAGTGAGAACACACTGTAGCACAACAACTTCAAGCAAAAATGTAGAAAATTACTTGATGTCCACCCTATAGAAGAACGGCTACCCACGAAACTTTATCAGAAGATGCCTATCCCCCACATCACCAACTACAGAGTCATCAACGGAAACGAACAAATTCATCGTCCTACCATACATAAAGAATGTCTCAGAAATCACAACAAGATTGCTGAGACCACTTGGAATTGGTGTGGCCACTTATAAATCCACAAATTCCCTCCAAACACTATTATGCAGAGCAAAGTATGCAACAAGCAAAGAAGACAGACAAATCGAATATCATTTACAAAATCAACTACAATCACTGTAGTCAACACTACACATTGGAGAAAGTGGTCGTCCTCTTCGGCTTCATCTATATGAACATTGATTGGCTATTACACGTCACACACTCGACATTTCATCACTCATTTCAATGCAAGTGGATAACAACAATCCACATGAATTCAATGTTGACAATGTAGAAATCTTGGATGGAGAATGTTAGAGAATTCCTAGAAGCTTGGCATTCAGATCGGTCAGCGATCAATAGATGTATAGACATAGACCCAATCTATCTATCAACCAACAAGAAAACTAATAAACGACAGAAAGGTGAGAGGTGAAACAGAATGACAGTCAACAGGGAAATCTATACAGTCAATGATATAGGAATGAAAGCAAACAACTGATCAGAGACTACATTGTCAGGGCAAGCCAGTGAATTACTCATGTAGAGATATAGACAACTTTCATATTGAATTTAATGCTGAAGATGTTACTGTCTAGCGAGATGATGAAAGCTTGACGATTAAACAACTTAGCTCAGAGAACATAATACAATCCTTTGTAATGACTACATCTATTGGATAATAGAAGCCATATGAATGATTAGTTCCTAAGTATTTTTAATAATCTTCATCAATTTTAATGTTTGATGATTATTCTTCATACTTTTATAGTCTTTAAAGACATACATAACTTTACCTTGTACTCATTGGGTTTGTTTTTTTTTAGGATAAAGAAAATTATGTGAAAAAACCTTATGAATGGAAATCATTGTCAAAATCAGATGCAGACTTGTTAGAAATGTTACATAGACATGAAGAAGATAAGAAACGATTTGAAGAAGTACAAAAACTATTACGTATTAAAATATAAATTTGAGTAAAATGTTATTTCTCTTTGAATTGTTTCAATACTTTGTCTTTCATACTTTAGAAATGATGTAGACAATAAATATTCTTCAGTGGTCCTTTTTTAAATTTCAATTTTGTAACTGGACTATGTGATCCAAGAACTATGTTCTTTCTTATTTTATATCTTATTTGAAGTGAATTACTCTCCTATATTTGTCAAGGTTATTATCTGTTAGAAATAACTGTAAAATACACTACTACTTCTTATGCTAATCGTTTCATTTTCATCTTATTTATGCATTAAAAGAGGTAGCAAAGGTGGGACTTCCTTCAGGTGAACGTAGAGAAGACAGAGGTGATGAAGATATCCAACCAACAACAACAACAACATTCAATCACCATTAACGGGAGAAATCTGGAGGAAGTAGTCTCTTTCACCAACCTATCCAGCTATCTATCTTATCTAGGCATCATCGTCTCAACTACAGGTGACAGCACTGAAATCAGTGTAGAGATCTACTACGCTCAGCATAAAGTGTGAAAAACGATCCAGACCTTCAACACTAATTCAATGAAGTAAGTCAGTGCTTCTATGTGATGGTTGAGAGACTTGGTGCGTTACGGAAAGCGATTCCAACAAGCTGCAGACATACTACACACATACAGTTGTCGCCTACGCTCGCTCATCCGATACTAACACTGAAGATCAGATGGTCAGAATAACAAGAATCAGCAGTAAGGAACTCTGGCTGGCTGGCAACGAACCAGCCAACAATCTATCACCCAACAAATATACACAAGACGAAAATGGAGATGGATTGGGCATGCACTGAGAAGACCATTTGGCGACATCATACGCCAGGCCAGGCCATCGAGTAGAACCCAAAGAGGAACCAGCTAGTTGGACGTCCGAAGCAAGGGTGACATGGAGGAGATGGTGTGGGGAAGAAATGAAAGGTTATGGGCAGTAGTGGAGCCAGGTTGAAAAGACTGGAGAGAACAGAGTGAAATGGTGACGTACCACTGAAGCCGTATATTCCACTAGGAACCCAAGGGAGAAATAATCATCATCATAATAATAATACGCCATGGCATTGATAATCTGAAGAATGACTTTAGGGTGGCAAAAGGTGTATGGCTGATGCTTTACATTAGGAACTAACACAAACTAAGCGATAATGTACTTGACAAGGTAAATGTCTTTCATTTGTCCTAAGACAGCCTCTTGCAAGCTTCAGTCTTAGTTCTTCTCGATAACAATAGATTTTTGAAGTCAACTTTAGGTTTTTGTTGAGGATTTAAGTTCAATATCAGAATATGATACATCCAGTTGTTGAATACCTTGGATCAAGTGCATCTACCTTTACCGGTATATCGATTCCTTTATGGATACTGCGACATAGCCAGTGATGTATCTTTTATGTTAAGGATGGGTACTGGCTAGCATTGAAATTCACGACATGCGTTTCGTCTTTTGTAGAACTCATCAGCTAAATGTGCTTGGATCTCAACGAGTGGTGATCTTCCCACCAAGACTGGAGTCCAGCATTCTTCGTTGTAAACGTTGGAGCGTCACCAGCTTTCTTGTGCAACACATATAACATGATATTCGTTGTTACTAGTCTCAGTGACAACACCATTACTCAATGGCATTCAAACGCGTTCATCTGATGAGTCCTGAAATAAGACGAAACGCATGTTTGTAACTTCACTGCTAACCACTATTAATCTCTATTGTTATTATTATTATTATTATTATTATTATTATTACTGTTTGCATCATGCTTCTTTTTAGATGGAACAGGAACATCTAATGGAATATCAGCTCAAGCCTAGATACTGGCTACTTTTTGCAGCTTTTCAAAGAAATTTCTTCTGAGTATTCACATATTTCTCATTGAATGTGTTGAATCTTCTTTAGATTTTGTTAAACAATCGATAAAGTATCTTTTACATTCAGGTTTCTGGATGAACAGAAGCATTCATTTGATGGGTGTGTAGTTCACCCTCCTAGCACCGAAATGTAACTAGGGGTAAAATATTAACTCAATAAACTTTTAGCTCGCTTCTAGATTCTTAAGGTGTTCAAAGTTTTATTTTAACAAGTATACATCTAATCAGGCTTCGACAACATTCAGTCTCCTGCAGGTACATTAAATATTCAATCTTTGGTATTGTGTTTAAAGGCGGTTTGAATGGTTAAATGCTATGCGCGTTGTTAACCTGCTTTTCTTTCCTAAATATTTGGGAAGCTCTTCTACAGCTTGGAATCTAGCTTTACCATTTTTCAATATTCCAGTAAAATGAAACTTTAGTGACTGATATAGAGCATAACGCTTCAATGTTCTTCCACTGGATCGAACTCTTGAGCCAATTATTTAAATATCTTATATTGGAATTCTCATTGCACATAAATCTGAGCATAAAATTGCGTTAAAGATCCTCAATGAATATCTAAAGTGTAATGGAAGGCTTTGTAAAGCAGAGGCTACTGTGAGTTTAATCGATGAATGTATTTTTTCTAATTGTTACGTGAAAGAATATCGGAAGTCTTTGCGTCATTCGAGAGTTCGATCTAATGCAAAAGCCGGGGAGCGCTGTATCCTGAATCAGATTGAATCATCAAAATTATATTCTAATGAAATGGCTTTCTTTTGCTGAAAATATTTTTTCTGCACTCATTCAAATTTTGCTTATTTCATGTGAATACTGAAAGCTTCACATAAACGTTGCTTTTTAGATTCTATTTGAATGACTTCTTATCGAAGTGCACCATGGTGTTACATCGATTCCTTAGAGCCACATATGCAAATTTGTCTGCCGTATTCTGGTTAGAAGCTAAGTCTAAGTGAAGTTGACAGCCATCACTCTAGATTACACCGTTAGTGTCAGATATGGGAGATATGGGAACCTACAAGCCGCCTCCTCTGCTATTCTTTCCACACCCATCCTAACTGCTAACCATTCGCATTGTCGAACATCATGGGTTTGTTTTTCTTCTGGTTTGGCGATCGTTAGTTCCGATATTCTACAGATGACGACATATGTTGGTCCTTTCCGGTGGCTAGCATTTTGGATTGTCTTCGTGGCTGATCATTACCTTTCTGGTTTAGCCCTAGTGCTTGTTGGCCGGATAATGATCAGCGTGAGTGAAAAGAAGCAAAACGAATCTTTTCACATCTTTATCCTCATCGAAGTAGATTGTCTTGAGGGGTAAATTGCTTAGTTAGAAGGGCTAGTACAATTTTGCATAAAAGTTCCCTAGTCCTAGTGTGCTACATACCGATTCCCACTGCTATCTGCCGAACGATTCTTTTTCCGCAAGAAGACTATCGTTGCATACAGGAAAGTCAAAAAAGATGATAAACTCTATCAAAAATTGAATTTTATATTGTTATGTACAGTTTGTAAGTTTTCATAGGCAGCTTTTATGGACATGTTTCAGGTTAGGGATATACACTAGTTACAACTAAACAGAAATCAAAACAAGTCCACTATGTTACATCTATATAATTGAAATGGTCATTGAGTATGCTTTCTGGAGAAAAGAAATAGCTCCTCATCAGTAGTCCATTATTTCAGTATTAAAATAGGTTTAAACTATGAGTATACTTGAATCCTTAGGGCAAATATCACCTATTTCCATATGCCTTAAGAGAAGCAACTAAGAAGGACTTGGTTAACTTGCTTTTAAAAGAGTTGATTTTCGAATTGGGTTCCTCTCATCGTGACACTACGAGGTGGGGGGGCGGCGGGACAGCTGGAGAATTACTAGGAATCTGTGGTGATTGTAATCTGACACCTAACAACCAACTACTCCAGCAACTTTGTACTACAGAAAATAAAGAGAATATCTTATGTTGTTCAAAATGCTTAGTAAAATAGGTATATAGAGACCTTACCACCAGTAATGAAGAGTGCAACCACAGGCACGACGGATAGACCACCTAACATCAACAATTGGAACGGTATTTGTTACATATGGTACACCTTACACTAAACTCGTCATTTGCAAAATGTGCTTCTTTTCCTCTTCTGTTTCTCTGTTTTATTTTGCTCTTCACACATTCTTATCAGCAGCATCCACTGTAATACGCCTGTGTTACCCCTTGCATTGCCCTTGGGAGAAACTTTACCCATTGCTGGTAATTCCCTATGATTCCTGCCACCCTCTCAACATATACTACTTATATCCATTGTTATCAGCAACGCCCACTACAGTAATATTCTATTTGAAATGTTAAGGTATAAATTCTTACCCCTTAGACTAATGGGATCACTTACTATAATTTCAAACAGTTACAAATTGGAATAGATTACACAGTATATAATCTTATCAAGATGATATTATGTTGCATAATTCAAATATTTCATCTCTGAGACAACTGATTGTTAGCTTACAGTTCTACTCCTGATTCACTCAATTACTGTCTACACTATTCGATTTTGTTTCTAATCAGCGATTTATGTGATAACATTGCCATGAAAGCATTTTGCGAAACACTTGTCAGGTTTCTGAATAATCAGATTTTTCTAAGACGTTCGAATAAAAGTGAATAAGGATATTACCAAACCTGAAAATAAGCACTAACGGTTGTATGGACAGTAGAGCGTCTCCAGAAGTATCCATTTAGTCCAGTTTCACATTTTTCTATTGTTCACCAAGCCTCCAAATTCATTTGACATCCAGACACATCCATCAAGATGTGGAATTCAGAAAATATCATGTGGAAAACTAAAACGGAATCCATGGTCTCAGTCTTGTGCGAAGTAGCAGCACATTCCATAAATTACTGTGGTCCTTTCTTAAAGACATTATAAACTTTGGCTATGAAATATTGGCAAAGAGTTCAGGGGAAGAAAATTTCAGCGGTTTGTATAAACCTTATATCACATTCATTGATAATGAAAGTCATTTTGAAGAGAAGAGTTTCAGTATTTACCCGAAAATGCTTGACGCTTCCATCCTTATAATGTCGTCCATCATTCTCTGTCGAATATGTTGGCCAAAACTTCATGAGA